GATACGCGCTTGCTCGAGGAGGTATATATTCATCTCGACGTAAGAACTGTAGAATCCAGAGTCATTCAATAGGCCAGCTTTTTCGAACGCTTTTCTGAAAAGGTGTGATTAACAATTAAGTATTTTGATACCAGGCCAGATGGAGGAAAAAGCTGTAGCAATGTAGGAAGCATGATCTTGGCTTCCGTACTTTAAAACCAAAGAATCGTTGAAGTAATCAGCGACGAATCGCTTAGCTGTAGAGAATAACGTTTTGTTGGCAAATTTATGCTCCGTACGCACAAACATGTACATCCAAGGTACAAATGAATGTCGGTAACGTTTTCTTTCATACACAGAGCAAGAACTGCCGAGTGCTACCAGAGTCCAGCGATCTTTAATAAACGTGAATACTACTAAACGTGAATAGTAATATACATGGGTTAGCAGCTGTAATAAATATTTTGTAATTATTTAGTAATAACACTTACTGAAATCGATGCGGTAGGTGCCATCGGTAACTCCAACGAGACCGGTCTCTCTTTGATCACAAATACATCGGTACAGATTTCGAAAAAGACGTCGCGATGTGAAAATAACACCAAACGAAGTTTCTTTCCCGGTGTCACCATCAAACCTAAGATCAAATGTGTTCAATATGAGTAATTCATTCTGAAAGTCGAGACTTTGTTGAGTAAATGCCGCCAGATCAATAAACCCATCAATCCCCAAGCTTCCGAAAAACTTGTCAGCCGCAGTACACATGTGCGGGTCATCAGAACTGAAAAACTTGAAATGTCCCAATTGTTTTTTAGTTTCTTCTTCAGACTGGCTTTTCTGTTCTTCAGTTTGATTTCGTCTGGAATCTTGGCTAGCATGGTTGGGTCAAGTTTATATTTCTTCTGTAGTAGAAGTACGCATCGTTTTGGACCTGCTCCACCTTGAAGAATGCTATCCACCTCTGGTTTTATCTGCATGTCAATACCAGACCTCTTTCGGTGCGTTAGCAACTGGCTATGGGTACCACTAGATTCTACTTCGTATGAAGAAGTCGTTATGAAATGAGAAGAGTTGAGCTCTGAAATCTTAACGATCCGTAGCCGACGAGAACGCGCCTCATGCGAAATGCAAGTGTAGACACTCTTGCGACGTCCTGTCGGCCCATACGTACGTGGATGGCTGTATTCAGATGTATCAGCACTGTTTAGCGCTGTAACAGCAGCATCTTCTGTAAAATGGGTTGAGATAAACCGGAATGAACTATGTGCGTCGCTAGAAGAATCACCCTCAGGCGGCGAGACCTCTGGATCTTGTCCATCGTTGCTCATGACTGCGGTTCAGCGTCTGTTGGCGAATGCGCCGTCTCGTGTCATACCAGGATGTCTAAAAATATCAATATGTTGTAGCACACACAGCTGTAATATAAATAAACGGGACAGAGTACATCAATACCACCTTTTAGCTATTGAAAAGCATCCTTTTTTTAAAGGTGTTGAATTCAATCTTTTTTTGTATTGAAAATAATATCTTTCCAGATAAAACGAGTCCTTCACTCTCCTTGTCATTCCGAGCCAGAACTTCTGGCTCATTGTCAATTCGATTGCCCCGAGCGTTCTTGCCTTCACGGTCCAAATTTGCTTCAGAAGAGACGTGATCAGGTTTGCTACAAAGGTAAGCTTTTCGCCACGCTTCCTTCATCCAATTCTCCAATTGACAGTCTTTCGGGTTCACCCAGACATCACCGTCGGAGTCGCTATCTTCAAAACTGTGGTCCCGCCTGAGTGAGGACTTGGTTATGCAGCACATTCCCCCGTTGATAGCGTTGCCGATCGTCGTAGCTGCTACTCCGATACTGCGCTCAAGAGTGGCATTGAGCTGCTCTGCAAACTCCACGTGCTCTTTATCGCCTCTCAAAACTGAGCTTGATTGTTGCGACTATTCTTGTCGCTCAGGACTCACTAAATCTGGGTTGCTGAGCAGCACATCCTGGAAAGACGTCTTTAGCCATTCTTCATCAATTCGAATCGACCGATGTTTGAAGCGCATTTGCTGCTTCTGCAGCTTCTCACGCAGAACTGACGTTGCATCCGCTTGGCGTTGAATTTGTAGGTTCATTTCCGACTGTGTGTTCGTAACCAGACTTTGCACGCGAGATTCCAGCTGACGTGCCGCCTGCGTTTGTCAGTTCCAAAACCAAATGCCGGACTGGTTCCTCCATTCTGGTTGCGATTTCACGTTAAATTTCGGTGCGGGCACGCTGGAGCTCTGTATCGATTGTTTGTTTTGCTTCAGTTATAGCCGCAGCTACCGTTTCGTCCACCACTCCCTGTACTTGCGCCGCACTTACAGAATCATGCTGCAGGCTTGCCAACTCACTTCCA